CAGCACGGCTCAGGCTGCTGATTCCCCTTAATGTCATCCCAAAACCCTAGACCCTAAACCCTAAACCCTAAACGCTAAACGCTAAACCCTAAACCGAACCTGAGAGCCCCTAAAAGCCACCGACCTTCGAGCCCTAGGAGCCCTTGGCTTTCGCCACAATTGCCCCCCTGAGCCCAAGATCCCAAGCCCCCCCAAAAAGGCCCTCAACCCTAAACCCCCAAACCTCACCCTAACCCTGCAACCCCCGAACCCCCGAACCCCCAAACCCTAAACCCTACACCCCCCAAAACCTAAACCAACTCAACCCCCTAACCCCCCCTAAACCCCCAAAACCCCCCAAAACACCCCTGAACCCTAAACCCTAAACCCTAAACCCCAAACCCCAAACCCCAAACCCCAAACCCCAAACCCCAAACCCCAAACCCCAAACCCCAAACCCCAAACCCTAAACCCTAAACCCTAAACCCCCTGAAACCCCAGGCAAGGAGGAGGCGGAGGCCAAGGCCCTGGAGCTGCAGAAGCGGCTCCGCGAGAAGCGGGTGCCTGGGGAGCAGTTGGAGGGGGGGTTGGCTAGGGGTTTAGGGTTTAGGGTTTAGGGTTTAGGGTTTAGGGTTTAGGGTTTAGGGTTTAGGGTTTAGGGTTTAGGGTTTAGGGTTTAGGGTTTAGGGTTTAGGGTTTAGGGTTTAGGGTTTGGGGTATATCCCCCTTGGGAATTAGTTTTTTGTTCATATAAACAAACCCAAGAGGATATGAAAAATATTGTTTTTATTAAGGTTCTAAGGGGAGTAAGTTGGGGGTTTTGGGGGTTGAGGCTTGGGGGTTTTGGGGGTGTTTTGGGGGTGTTTTTGGGGGGTTGTGGGGGGTTTGGGGGGTTTGGGGGGGGCTTGGGGGTTTAGGGTTTGGGAGATTTAGGGTTTAGGGTTTAGTGTTTAGGGCTTTAGCAGCGGCTTTTGGTTTTGAGGTTGAGGCTTGGGGGTCTGGGTTCTAGTCAGATTTCGGAGATTTCGGGATGTTTAGGGTTGTGTCAGTGAGGGCTATAAGGGTATCCCTATGTTGGGAAACCCCAATTTGTGGGAAGTTGTGGAGTTGGGGGGGGGGGGGGGGTCGGCGGATTCTCTCTGAGGCAGAGGAAGAAAGAAAGTCCGAGAAGGAAAAGGCCTGGAGCGGTTCGGGGTCTGGGATTTAGGATTTTCGGGTTCAAGGGGTTCCCTAAAACCCTAAACCCTAAACCCGTGAGAGTTTTGGCTTAGGGCTGTAGGGCTTGAGGCCTCAGTCCAGAGGGCTCAGGCCTTAGAGGAGCCGCGGCGTCACCCTAACCCAAAACCCTAAACCCTAAACCCTAGCTTCCATGGCCCGGGAGCCCCAGTTTTCCCCAAGAGGCTATTGGGGCCTCGATTAGCAGCTTGAGGTCCCTCAGTCCCGAAACCAAGCCCCCTAACCTGGGTTTAAGGTTAAAAGGTTATAAGGTTGTTTGGCTTAGGGTTTCGGGTTAAGGGTTATAGGGCTTAGGGTTTAGGGTTTCGGGTTACAAGGCTTAGGGTATTTAGCCCCCTGAGAGACCGGAATTCCGCCAGGAGCAGCAGCGCAAGGAAAGCACGAAGCTGATGGTCGAGGCACAGGAGAAGGCCAAGGAGGAGGAGCCATTTGAAGAGGGTGGGGATGAGGGGGTTTAAAGTTTAGGGTTTAGAGCTTAGGGTTTAGGGGGATTAGGAAGTAGGTGTTAGGGTCTATGTGAATTTCATAGGGTTTGGGCCCCAGAAAAGTTCTGACCGAAACATTTTGACCGCAACGTGTGCGAGCGAAACGGTTTGACGATGTTTTTGAGAGCCTATCAATACATTTTGGGGTTTAGGGCGCCATGGGTTGTGAATTGCGCCTCGAAACCAGATCCGCAGGCAAGGTGCGGACGATGAAGCACGTCAAAAAGTAGGTCCACAGTGCAAATTCAAGACCTTCCGGGGGATGAAGACTATGCTTCCGTGTTATACTTTTTTTGACTGTCACTTGACTACTGCAGTCGAAGGATCTATGCAGTGCCCGACGTTCTGACGACCTTGAGTTTAGGTAGCTACTGTATGACAAGCTTGCGATATTTCTGCCAGAACTTCTGCCGCGCTTCCATGTTATGTGTTTTTGCTAACTTTCAACTCTACTTGTCGTGAAAGTGTAATTTGCCGATGAAAAGCTTTAGCACGATGCTGTTGACTGCTGGAGCACCCGTGCGTCGGCTTGGCCATTGCGATGGCGAGAGGACCCCACAGTGCTGCTGCTGTACGACGACGGCGACGACCGCGACCGCGACCTCCACGACGACGACGACCACGACGACCACCACCACCACCACACCACCACCACGACGACGACGACGATCCTCCTCCTCCTCCTCCTCCTCCTCCTCCTCCTCCTCCTACTACTACTACTACTACTACTACTACTACTACTACTACTACTACTACTACTACTACTACTACTACTACTACTACTACTACTACTACTACTACTACTACTACTACTACTACTACTACTACTACTACTACTACTACTACTACTACTACTACTACTACTACTACTACTACTACTACTACTACTACTACTACTACTACTACTACTACTACTACTACTACTACTACTACTACTACTACTACTACTACTACTACTACTACTACTACTACTACTACTACTACTACTACTACTACTACTACTACTACTACTACTACTACTACTACTACTACTACTACTACTACTACTACTACTGCGACGACTGCTACTACTACGACTACTTCTACGACGACGACGACGACGACGACGACGACCACGACGACCACGACGACCACGACGACCACGACGACCACGACGACCACGACGATCACGACGATCACGACGATCACGACGACCACGACCACGACGACGACGAACCACGACGACGACGACTGCTGCTGCTGCTACGACGACTACGACGACGACGACGACCTCTACCTCTACCTCGACCTCTATGCCGCTATGCCTCTATGCCTCTATGCCTCCATGCCTCTATGCCTCTATGCCTCTAGCTGGCTAGATTCGGCCTAAGAGGATGGCTTGACTAGGTAGCCAACCGCCTACACTTGGCTGATCCGCCTTCCATGCAGCAAGGAGTATGGCCGCTCCCCGAAACCGCCAGACTGATCACATGAAGCCGCGTTCCCTGCCTTTACGCGCGAAAACCCACAAGTGAGGTTTCTCGTACAGCATAGCGCAGACATGTAGCAGCTGGCTACGTTCCACATACAACCTGAGAGTGCTACCGAGATGGCTTGCTAGCAAAGCACCGCAAAGCCTGGCGTCAGCATCAAAACTGCAGCCAAGCATCCCACGCAGGCGTACGGCCAGAAACGGAATGCGCACTAAGCACGAACTACTACCTACAGACCTGCTACCTCCTACCTACTACCTACTACCTGCTACCTGCTACCTGCTACCTACTGCCCACTCCCTACTCCCTACCGCTACCCATTACCTGCTACCTGTTACTGTTACCTACTACCTACTACCTACTACCTACATGCTACTACTATGGTTTAGGGTTCAAAAGGCCTCTGAACCTTGGGTCTCGGATGGGCACATTACGTTCACCTCCCCCCAACTTGAATAGCAAAATCTGTAATTCACACGAGAACAATACTCAGCAAGCATACACCGGGAGTGTCTCATTGTAGAAATTTGCTTGTGTGTTACCCCTCTTTGTTAGCCCCTTTGCAGAAGTTGGATGTTGGTGCTCCGCGAGCGCCTGCAGGCTCCCAGCCGCAGCAGCGACCAGCTCAACTTGTGCTTTGTATAGTTCGGATTCGCGGAGATCAAATACCTGCATGGTCGCAGGGGTCGAATCACTCAGCGTTCTTGAGCCGCCTTTGTGAACATTGGTGCTTGGACGAAACAGTGCCTATTATTCGAGGTTGAGCTGGCTCCTGGACCACCCCTTTGCCGGATTGATCAAGACATTGTTTAGATGGTTTGTTAATGGGGAATTCTTGGTTTCGGCTTTGTTGGGATTCGGGTTTTTGGGGTATTCGAAAGGAGGCCTGCCTTTAAGATTCGAAAGCCCGGCCTTTAAGCCAAGAGGCCAGGACATCGGTTTAGTGTTGGCTTCAAGACAAGAAGCATTTCGGATTCCGGGAACGATTTGCCTTTAAAGAGGGTCCGGGTCTGCATCCCCAAACGGTCAGGGTGTCCTCAGTAGCCCAGCCAATTTGACTTTATTCAGTGTCAGGGGGTCCCCGCTAGAGCAGATACAACATTATAGGGCTTGGGCCCCAATAGCGTTGTGACCGAACGTGTTTTTTTTTGGACCTTAATGTCACCTTTTGTGCCCCCGGAGCCCGGAGCTTGTTGCTGTGTCTTGAGGCCTTGTGGGATTGAACTTATGCGCAGGCTTGTTTACACAAACAAGCAGGCTTAGGCAAACTGCTAAGTTTCGCCCCGCGAACAGGTTTTAAGAATTGAACAGTCGGGGGCATCCTCGTGAAGCGGTAGCCTTATCAGCGGAGAGCTGCTGGCGTTGAAACACGTACAACTTCCATTCATTTTGTTTTGAGGGCTTAGGGTTTGAGATTCATAAGGTTGGCGGTTTTGGCTTTTAGGTTCAGTGTGGTTAGGGCGAACGCTCGGCCTTGAGCTTCGAATCGTCAAAGTGCTCTAGATGGGGTAATGCACTTTTGGCTTATGAGAGGGCAGAAACAGGGTGATAAACAGCCTTTTTGTTAGGGCTTAATGAAGGTTGAGGGTAAGGCAGTTCGTCAACAAAAGCGTGCGCGGAAGGAAGGTGCAACTTGCAACGTCCGAAGTGTATCCTTGTAGCAGTTTCACAAACCTCTGCGATTCGCAAACAAGTCATGCTCAAGCGACCGGAGCCCCCAACTAGCCCTGAAAGCCACTGTCCGCCAACGAAGAGGACCGAAGACGGGCCATCGAGCAGCAGATGCGGGAGCCGTGCCCTCAGTTGTCGCCTCGATCTGGGATCGGACATGCTGTTAGAGTTCGGGAGTTCGGTGTTGAACATTGGGTGGGGCGGGGTGGGGCAGGAGTGCGGGGCAAGTTGCAGCAATCCGGGTCTCGGTTATGGGTTCAAAGGTAGTTCTAAGTAGGGTTATCAGCCATAACTAGCGATTGTTCCCTATTGTTTATACCTCGATTATAGCTGCCAATTGAAGCTCCGAGCTTTTGGTGCTTATTGACATCTCCAACAGCCAAGAGCTGACGACGAGCGCCGCGAGACGTCTGCTCCCCAAAATGCTGGAACCGGAGAGCTGAAGCCTAGACCCTAAGCCTATATCCCCCTTGGGAATTGTTTTTTGTTCATATAAAACCCAAGAGGAGATTAAAAAGATTATTCTTATTAAGGTTCTAAGGGGAATAAAAGAAACTCTGAGCCCTAACCCCTAAACCCTAAACCCTAAACCCTTCGAGCCCGAGTTCCTGGCGAGGAAAGAGGAGCACGAGAAGCATCGGGCGGAGCTCAAAGAGCGGTTGAGACAGGATGCTTGGCTGGCGCGATTGTTTGATTCAGTTCTCGTGTACAGTATATACGAGTGTTGGTTCCGATGCCTCAGGGTTTCGGGCTAGCTTGGCGGTGCAGGGTCCAGTGCTGGCCCACAGGCCAAAGCGGGCTGAATGTTCCTTCGACCTTCGACGCAAAAACGCCACCAAAAGCCCACTCAAGGCACGTTGGAGCGCTGTAGTGCTTGCGCCTCTCGCAAAAACTGAAGCGTACCCAGGATTACATCGACCGGTTTGGATGTGAACCGCCAGAGGAGAAGGACGTGGGGTTGCGGGGCTTCGATTGGAGGGTTGTTACTGTTGGCCTGCAACCCCCAAAGCTAGGAGGTAAGTACACTCATAGTTCAACAAGAAAGGTTTCAATCGATACTCTCAAAATGCACCCTGAGCATCCGGCCACCTGGGGTTTTCTCAACTTCCATTGCTTCTGGATTCGGATTCCGGGTATTAGTGCAAGCCGAAAGCCTTGGAGTTTAGAAGGCTTTGGGGCTTGCGTTTGAGGGCGGGGTACTTTAAAACGTTGACATCCTAGACCCTGCATTAGACCCCAACCCGTAGAAGATCCTAAAACCTTGAGCCACTAAAGAAACTTTCTTAACCAGAAGATGCACGGGAATTGGTCTGTTCTTCTCCGATGGCTTCTTGAACAAGCAGGTGCTCCGGTGCACATAGAGTTAAGCTGCGGCATCTGTGCCTGCACGTACCCTTCTGAAAATGCGGGATTTAAGGGTTTAGAGTATACGCAAGGTTTGAGGTTTGTAGGTTTGTAGGCATCTAGTCGTTCGAGTATTTAGAGCTCCTGTGCTCAAACTCGCCCTGATCTGAGCTTGCCAGGAAGAGGAGACGGTCAAGGAGAAAAGTAGCAAGGACAGCTTTGAAGAGGGTCGTAGCACGTCAGGTGCTGTTGACTTTTGACACTGTGTGTAAACGGCCCCAAGAATCCAAAACCCGCCTGCATGGCCGTGAAAACCCCTCCTCCGATCTCGTCTTTCTTGAGCTGGATGTTGTTCACGACAACAGGTTTATCATGGTTTTTCTAAAGCTACGGCTCGTGGGCGGGAAGGCGTTGTGTTCCGATCGTTCGACCGTCATTCACTAGCTGGCGCCTAAATCAACCAGTCTTGGAAGCAGCATGTCAGATGGAAGATGGCCAGTTCGCTGCCATAGTTTGAGAACTGGCCGTATCTTCAGCCAGAGTTCTGGATAGTTCAGAGCTGCCAAGAACCTGTCTTCTCCCGAGTGTTCCGATGGTTGTTAGGGCCTAGGGCTTTTTGGGGTTTTCAGGGGTTTAGCGGCTGAGGTGTTCATCTTAGTGAGGTCGACTTGGGCCGATTCGAAAGCTTACACACCGCAGTCCGAGATCCAGCCTCTTCAGCTGCACCGCATCATGCAAACATATAAACCTCCTCGGCCGAAGTTTTTTTTTGTTTGGGGGGCGGGGGGGGGGGTGGGGTAGGGTTGGGGGTTTAGGCTTTAGGGTTTAGGCTTTAGGCCTTAGGGTTTAGGCTTTAGGCTTTAGGGTTCAGGGTTTAGGGTTTAGAGTTTAGGGTTTAGGGGGGGTGGGGGGGGGAGCTGGGAGCCTCACGAGGATCAGCTGGCTTTCCACTTGAACAGGCTGAAGAAGAACTACAAGGAAGAGGGTCTTGGGCTTCAGGGATCTGGACTTGGAGCTTTTGGTAGAAGTACCCCTTAATTGTCCCAAAAAATGGACAAGCTAATTTGATGATGCAACTCTTGGAGGGTGTGGCCCTAACACCAATCCCCAATTCAAACCCCAATCCCCAACTACCATCACTCAGAAGGTCTTGGGGTTCAGACGCCAGAGGGACATCTCAAGCCTGAAAAGCAAGAGGAGCGAGTGACAACCGCTTCCTCTCGGAATTCTTCTAAGGCCTCTTGAAGCGCCTTTTCTTGGGGCCCAGAACCCCTAAACTAAGACCCTAAACCCCCTAAACCAGGGCAACAGGGCACCCTGCCATCAACGCAAGCGATTGAGGACCGCACTTCCCTCGAGCTTGTTGCTACAAGCCCGCAGAAACCCTAAACCATTTAGGGTTTAGGGTTTAGGGTTTGGGGTTTGGGGTTTGGGGTTTGGGGTTTGGGGTTTGGGGTTTGGGGTTTAGGGTAGTTGAGTGCTTGCATATCCCTACTCGAACCCCATGCCTTCTAAGGACGCCGAAGAAGCTTGTAGCTTCTTACTCCATCCTCAGTATGGCTCCAGCTCTGGTCCCGTGAACTCCCAAGTAGCAGCTTCATCTGTGGGCTTACGACAATGAGGCACCCCCAATCTCCCAAATAGTAGGATCCCCGAATACTAAGGGCCCCAATACAGCTACCCCAATTATCGTAAGACCCCGTCTGCTCTCAGAAAGGCAAACGCAGCCTTGAAGATCTCCCCAGGACACAGACAAGGAGGGATTGAAGACCTGCCTCAACACGCTGAAGATTTACATCAAGAATCTCCACGAGAACCCCTTGGCTCTTCGGCCCGCAAGAGCTTCGAAATTTTGGGCTTGCTTGGACGTGTCTGGGAGTTGTCAAAACTGGGGTAAAGTAGGTGGTTGTAGCTGCCATGAATTTTGAAGCAGGTTTGTTCGCGTTCTTTGGGCTTGACCCCCACACCTGGGGTGCTCTCAAGTGCCGAGGAAGCAAAGTTCAAGAAACTGAAGCTGGACAACAAGGCTTTTTGGACGTCATGCTCAAAGCCGCAGTCGCGCTTGAGGGGCTTAGGGTTTAGGGTTTAGGGTTCGGGGTCTTCGTGCTGCTGCTGCTGTCACTTTCCTTTACAGTTTTCCAACAGCAAGCCTCCAAGCCATGACCTGTGTGGCCTGCAGCGCAACGCAGGCCTTCCAGACAAGAATAGCTCCTTTTGACGGGGCCATAGACCCTCGCCTGCACGATAGTGAGTGGGGGTTGAGTCAGGGCTTCGGGTTGTTTTTCGGCTCAAGGATCTTGCCGCTGACCAAGACCAGGGTGCACAACCCTGGGCAGAGCGCATGCCTCCTCCCTCAACCCTGCGCAAGTAAGGTCTCAGGGTCCATGTAGAGTAGTGCTCCTAGGGTTCGGGGCCTCAAGTCCCGAAGCCAAGAATCAAAGGCGCCGGGTTTTAAGACCTGGGGGTTGGGGACTCGGCTTCGGTGTTTGAGGTGTTTGGGGTCAATATGGTACAATCCCAAAGCCAGGATGCGCTTGACATCCTCGGCTTTGAGAAGAAGGAGGCGTGATGGGAGTTCCCTACTTCAAGGGCTTAGAGTTCGGAGAGACCATGTTGGGGGGGAGGGGGGGGAGGGGGCAGGCTGGGGGAAGGGGGAAGGGGGGAGGGGGGGGGGGGGGGGGGGGGGGGGGGGGGGGGGGGCGGGGGGCGTCGCTTGTGGGCTTCCAACCCCGTAGCCCTGGACCTGGGCTCCAGATCTCCAATTTCATGGGGCTTAGGATTTAGGATTCGGGGTTTCTCCTTATGTCCAAGTACTCAAAAACACCACGTGATCTAAATCTACATCATGGATGGGTCCCTCTTGCGGGGCTCTATTCTTGTACACCATTCTTAGCTTCAGAGTGCCAAAAATTGGGCCCCGAATGTAGATCGGCCCCCCATGCCAGCAGCTTGCTCTCCCGATAGCCCGAAACGCTTGACATGATGAGTCCCGAACCTTCAACCCAATTTCGCTTCTGTTCAGAGTTTAGAGTTAAGGGAAACATCCGAATGCCAAGCCCCCAATTGCCAAAAGAGCTGTAGCAGCATTTTACCAACCGCCTCATTAACGGATTAGAAGAGGGGGCCATTATAATCCCTACTATGAAGCCCTAAAGCCTAAACCCTAAACCCTAAACGGCCCTAAACCCTAAACCCCAAACCCTAAACTCCAAACCCTGTCAGGACTGCTTGGAGCAGCGCAAGTCCACTCCCGATGGCTTCCTCTGTGGCAGCGGCCCCGGGCTCTCAGGGCCTGAGCAGTAGCGACATCACACGGAGTTTAGGGTTCAGGGTTCAGGGTTTAGGGCTCAGGGCTCAGGGTTCAGGGTTCAGGGTTCAGGGTTTAGGGTTTAGGGTTTAGAAGCCGGTGGGCCCTGATACAGAAGCCGGAGGACGAAGACATGTCGCCCCGGTAGTCCCCTTACTCACTATGTGACATTTAATTTCTGATACGAGTTTAAATTATTCAATAACTTTCCCACAACACCCCATTCTCACAAAATGGGCCCCTGACACTGCATCCCTTGCGAAACCTACGGGATCCTGCTGCTGAGGATAAGGGCTCCTTCGCGGGAAATGTGCTTTTTCATGTCTCGAGCATTCCAGGGTGGGCCGGATGGGTTGAGATTGTTCTGATAGGGTTTAGGGCTTAGGGCTGAGGGTTTAGGGTTTATAGGGTGTCTTATGCAACCAGCAGCGGGCCTGTTATCACGCTGTCACCCTCTTGGCCCCCGACTCTGGAGGCCAAGCACTCAAGTTCATCGACCTAATCATGGGCCAGATCTGAGCGGCTCTGGAGTTTGGAGTTTCAATTGCCGGGGGTTTGGGGATAAAACCCTTATATGTACCTTATATAGTCCCTATATACAAAAAGTCCCTAAAGAACCCCTAAGGTTCCTTATATGTTTTATATAGTTAGTCCCTATATAAAAGTAGTTCCTAAAGAACCCCTAAGGTCCCTCATAAGGGTATGCAGGAGTTAGCATCCCCCAAAAGCCTCCAACCGCACGGACCGGATCGTCTGCGTAGCCTGCAGTGTTCGCACGCGCAGAAAGCCGTGTGCTAGAGCACGGATCAGCAAACATGTGCCCAACCAACCGGATTTAGGCTTGACCTCTTCAGGGAGCCTGGCTTCTACGGTATCCACGCATTGGGTACAACTACTCCTTTCGCGGGGATTATGCCCGGGGCTGTTTGGGCAAGATGTAAGATCCATGGTGACATGTTTTTCGAGGGATTTCTCAACGAACGGTTTAGGGTTGAGGGTTTAGGGTTTACGGAGTGACTCTAGGCAAGGAAAAATACTCGTTGGGAGTTTCCTAGAACAGCTCGGCTTTTGCTGATCTGCTAAAGACCCTCAGCTGCCACGCGAGTGGAAGAAGCTACGGGCCCTAGGTAATGCGCTAAGAGAGACCCTCAAAGGGCTCAGAGCTTTAGGGTATGGGCTTTTGGGGTTTTAAGGATAAGGAATCTGATTCCTTAGTTCGCTGGGCGTGCAGGGTTCAGGAGCCTTAGGACCCACTGGTTTTGTTGGCCTGCAGGGCGCGTGTTACTCTGGGCCCAGAGGCGGTCTCCAAGGTGTGGGCCCAAACCCCAAACAATAAACCCCAAACCCCAAACTCCAAACCCTGAAGCCCAAACCCTAAACCTGAACCCCAATCCCTAAATCCCACTTCCTAAGCTCTTAAGCTCTTAAACCCTAAACCCTAGGCTCTTAAACCCTAAACCCTAACCCAGGAACCCAAAGGTCTGAAGGCCTCTGGGTTGACAGCAACGGGCTTTCAGCTTAAGTTTGGCCCATATGATACGGTACCTGGCCGGGCTTAAGGGTTTGGGGGTTAGAGGCTATGGTTTAGGGTTTAGAGTTAGGGTTTAGGGTTAGGGTTTAGGGTTTGGGGTTTAGGGTTTAGGGTTTTTAGGGGTTAGGGTTTCGGGTTCCAGGCCTCCTCTCCACGCGCACCTCCCCGTTGCAGGCCCTGCTAATGATGACAACAAGACGAAGCCACGAGCCCAGCCGGCCTTCCAGACCAAACAGATCAAGGGACTCTACCTTGCACCCCTAGGGTGGTACCCTTGGCCCGTTTTAAAGATCTCCCAAGAGAATGCAAGGGTAATATGAGGAGTATAATATAAGGAACTTTGGGGGTACAACCGTCATAATCCAAAACCCCTTGCATCTTGAAGCCTGAGTCTTTGGTCTTTATGTGGTGCCACGCATGTTCAACCCAATGCGCTTTCTTTCGCGTGGCTGTCCCTGTTCAGAGCAGGTCTTCACATTCGCCCCCTGTCACGCAAACTCGATGCGCTTCAATCCCTATTGTAGGAACCCCCAAACCTTGGCACCCCACATCTTTGGAACCGCCCCCATGCGCGCTTGTCTTGGTACTACCTCTGCCTAAACCCTAAACCCTAAACCCTACTAAAGCGGGCCAGCTCTTGGTAAGCCTCACTGGTAGCCCAAGCAGTCAACGCGGGCACCCCGAGGCCGAAGAGTCCCCCACCGGAGGAGGCTGTGGCGGCCAAGCACCCCGGCCGACACGTTGGGGGGGGCTTCAAAGGTTTAGGGTTTAGGGTTTAGGGTTTAGAGTTTTAGGGTTTAGGGTTTCTGGATATAATTGGGCGGTGTAGCGGCTGTACAACACTTGAGGGCTTAGACTTGCTGGGATTGGGACTGTCCTTGCCAAAGGAAAAAGGAGGAACCGAGTAGCAGCAAGACATAACGAACATCAAAACGGGACGGAGGCCTTGACCCCAAGTCACGAAACCTTTGAACTTTCTACCGACCCTAAAGCCCTAGAACCTTAGAACCTCGACAACCCCTCAACCGCCCAAACCCCCTAACCCACCCTAAACCCCCCAAACCGCCCTGAACCCTAGCCTAAACCCCCCCAAAAGAAAAACCCCCCAAACCCTAAACCCTAGCCTTAAACCCTAGCCCCTAACCCCCTTAAACCTAAACCCCCCAAACTCCAAACCCCCCCCCCCCCCCAAAAAAAAAAAAAAAAAAAAACAGAAACCAAGAACAAAAACTTAAACCCCAAACCCCTAAACCCCCTAAACACCTTAAACCCCAAAAAAATCTACACAATAGAAAGGAAGAACAAACAACACCAGCATCCCCCCAAGCAGCCTGAGGAGCACTGACGGAGCCCTGGCCTCGATCCTGATCGGCGTGGGGGTGACGCTGGTCTTCTTCCTCGGCCTGCCGGGGGAGCCCGGCTTTTTTTTGTTTTGGGGGGGGGGGGGGGGGGGGGGGGGTGGTTGAGGGGGTTTTAGGGTTTTGGGGGGGTTTTTGAGGGTGTTTGGGGGTTGTTGGGGCGGTTTTCGGCGGGTTTTAGGGTTTGGGGGTTTTAGGGGTTATTTGGGATTTTCGAAGGGTTTTGGAAGGGTTTTTCGGGCCTGAAAGGCTTTAGGGGTTTTGGGGATTTTGGGGGTTTTAGGCGTTGTCGCGCTTCTGGGGGCTTAGGGGTTTTAGGGTGTTGGGGTTCTGGTCTTTCTCGACCTGCACGGGAGGCCGGCGAGGCTTGCGAGTGGGCTTCGATGTTTTGTGGGGTTTTTGGGGTTTACAGGGTGTTGAGGGTTTGGGGTTTTCTTGGCTTTATGCGTTTTTGAGTGGTTTTCAGGGCTTTTGGATTTTGTTTTGTTTTTGATTTGTTTTGCTAGTTTTGGGGTTTGGAGCTTCTGGTTAACATCCCAAGATACACCTTTGGTAGGGGGGCTTTTTGGGGCCTGCTTGGGCGGCTGCTCGTGGTTTCAGGCTCGGGGCCTGACTTCGGGGTGTTCTCTCGTAGTCCCCCCTATGACTTTCACAGCCTTTGCGTAAACAGAGCTCAAGGGAATTTTAGGACCGCATCATCTCTATGTGCAAGGGAGTAGAAGCGCAGGGCTGAGGATGCAAGGTATGCAAAGGATGTAGGAGTATATGTAGGGGCCAGGGGTCCGGAGCTTAGTCAGGCGGCTGGACGCATGTGGCCTGATTCAGCAGTTTTTTCAGAAGCCGCTGCTTCTTGAGGTACTGCGCTCTGCAGATGGGAAGACGGCGGACTCAGCAGCAGGACATTCCTGTTGCCGAGCCTGCACCTGTTGAACCACAAAGCTTATGTTTTAGGGGAAAGGGTTGGCCGCGAATCCGAAATCCTGAAGCCCAAGCTAGCTGCCTGAACAAGGGTTTCACACCCGAAGCCCTCAACCTGAGTGCCCCAGACCCTGCTGCTACAGATTCAGGCTTGCTGTTTAGGCTTAGTGCCTTGATGGGTTCAGGATCTCGGAACCAACACTACACCATTCGCCATGATCCATCTTTTCGTGGCATGGCGGCTTCTGCGAACGTCTCTCCACTTCAATCTGGCCTCAACCTTGCTTGAACTGTGTCCTCTTACCTGCAAGGAGCCCTTGATGGATCCCCAGCCAGCGCGGCCAACTGTGCGATCGTGAGCCCTGTTTTGCTTTGCTAGGCTTGTTTTGAGAGGATGGAGCTGAGAGTTTAAGAGCCTTCAGGACCTCCGCTTTTAGCCCATGCCCTCGGACGTTGCAGGTTTCATCATGGTTTTGTCAGAAAATGGAGATCCGCACTTCCTTGGCACCCGTGTCTTTTTCACGACTCCAATAGGTGGAAGGTTGTGTTTGGTGAAGTCTTGGATGTGTTGGTCGCTTGCTTCCCGACGGCCCTTGGATGCTGGGAACCTGCGCCCGCCCTCTTGTCAACATCTCACGGTGGCCACAAGCGGACTTGCAACGCTTGGCCCCGCCGCAATATACACCCACGACGCAGGTACCGGCAGCAGCGGCAGATGCAGGCATCAGGTGCCGCAGAGAGCGCCACCGCCAGTCCCAGTGCGAGCCCTCAGCTCTCACCAGGTTCGAGTGGCTGTGCGAGACCTGTAGCAAGCTCCCTCGTAGAAGCACGATTCAACGGGTTCAAGGGTTCAAGGATGTTCAAGGTTTGAGGGCCTACAAGCAGTCACTCACGTCGGGTGCTACCCAAGCCAAAGCCCCAAATCTCGTCCCCCCAATCACCCCCCCCCCCCCCCCCAAAAAAAAAAAATCAAAAAGAATACCGAGAAAGAAAACCTCAGAACCACCTACGAAACCCCCTAAGACCCCTGAACAACCCATCTACAGTGAACCCCAAAAAGGTTGGAAACCTTTTTAGGACAAACAGTGCTGGGATTCCCTCTACTTTACTCTTAGGGATTGAGGCTATTGAGTTTCCAACTTTTGGCTTCTACTATAAAGCTAAAGCAGCAACCCAAAGCTGAGGTTCCCCGACCCCGGCACCTGCGCCAGCAGAAGGCCGACTCAAAGCAGCGCAGACCTGGGCGGTCCAGCGCTTGAGAAATTCCGGAGTTTGAGGGCTTCCGGGTTTCGGGTTCCTGGGTTTTAGGGCTTCCGGGTTTCGGATTCTAGCGTTGGTTGAAGTAGGGCTCCGGGTAGGTGAGCCGCCTCCGGCCGCGGCGGGTCCCCCGACCGGCACCGGCAGCTCGGGCCGCGGAGGCCTTGCAAATGGTGTTGCGTCTTTTTGTGTGTTTTCTTTTGTGTGTGTGCTCTTTTGTTGTCAATAGTTTTTTTTGCGGGGGAAGGGGGGGGGGGGTTCCATTTACGAGGGGTTTCTAGGGTGTTTTTAGGGGTTTCCTTCCTGGGTGGTTTGGGGTTTGCGGCCTTAGGGGATTTAGGGTGTTTGGGGGGCTTTAGAGGTTTAGGGGGTTGGGGGTTCAGGGCTTGAGGGTTTTGGGGAAAATTTTGGTTTTACTTGTGAGGTGAATCTGCGTGCTAAAAGCAAGTGATCGG